CCAATCACCCTTTCCAAATTTACTCAATCCAATCAGAAACAACCTGTTACAAGACCCGCTGAAAATTAGCTATAGACAACAATGCCTCAGGGCAGACAAAAGTTTGATAATTCATGGGTATACAACTCCTAGCAGTGCCACATCTCAAGCACAGATATAAATTCATCTCAGGCATGTAATGGCACCATGCAATACTACGGAAAGAACAATAAGTTAATTTATGTTGATAATAATCAATCAGGAAATTCATTTTTGTTAAAAAATTCACTGAAGTAATCCCAAAGCATTTAATCTGCAAGCTATTATTGTTTACTCGATAGAAAAACTGCGCTCCTCATACAAATGAACTTTGTTTCAGAGTAATGAAATGTAAAATTTTTGCAAACAAAAGAGTCACATTTAAGCATTAAAAACGAAATCATTATTGAAGATGAACCTGTGAATGGCATATTTATTACCTGGATCATCGAGGAATGGAGTTGTCGGCGTTGCTTTCCAGCGAGGAACGGTACTGTCATCATTGTCCAAGAATGGAGTTGTCGTCGTCGTCGTCGATTTCTAGCGAGGAATGAAGCAGTTGTCGTCGTCGTCCATTTCTAGCAGGGAATGGAGCTGTCGTCGTCGATTTCTGGCGAGGGAGGAAGGCGTCGTTGTTGATTTCAGAGAGTTTAGTTGTGATTTGCTAAATGATTGCGATTTCAAACTTCAAGGAATGAAGTTCATTGCGATTTGAGTGGGATTTCAGAGAGAAATTTGCGTAGAGAAGAAGCTGAGAAATGTGAGAAACAGAGAAAGTGAGAAATGAAATTAGAATGGAATGGCCTTACGAGTTGCGACTTGCATAGAGTTGGGGATTTTTTTCTCATTTTGCAACTTTTGATTGGTTTATCCGCAGGTCCGATTGGACCAACGGTTCACACATTTTATCCGGTTTTTAAACGGTTTAAATCGGGTTATTACATAGTAGCGAGTTTAGTGTTGACTCGAATCGGACACGTGACCAGGTCCAGGTCCAACTGGTTGGACTGGTTAGTCCGGTCTAGTTTTTAAAACAATGTCTTCAAGTAGAGCTTATGGTGCAAGTGCTTGTCAATCTTTTTGAGTTCCTTGTACAAAACATTTGCTGAAGCCTTGCTTCTTTTGTTCCCTTCCTCTTCCCATTTCCTGAATGCTTCCCTTTTCTCTTTGCTTAATGGGCCTTTTTACTATCAGGGGCGTTTGGTTGGGGGTTAAGTGTGATTACTGGGGTAATGTCATCTTATATTACTTGATTACCATGTTTGGTTGTCAAGTAATATCAGATATCGATAATCTTCAAATACTAATAGTGGTTACTATTGGTAATATCAGAGGTAATCTGATTACCTCCATTTTCTTAGGTATTCTAAGATTACCAGGATTATCTTTTTTTGTTACAATTTTATCCCTTATTAATAAAAATTTTAGACAATGATACCCCTACTTTAAAACAAATTTACATTAATATCCTATTTCAATTTTACCCTTGTTTAATTAAAATTTTGGACAATAATACCCTTATATTTAAAATTATTTACGGACCACCACAGCCACCTAGCTACCACCACCACTGCCGACAGCAGGCCAACCACCATGGACCACCGCCGGAAAATCGCCGGAGTCCCTAATGAAGAAGAAAATTCCGTGGGAGGCTCCGGGGAGCTTCGTTATGGCCGTTTCCGGCCATATTGATGGCCGAAAACAGCCATATCAGGCCAGATCTGGTCGGAAATGGCCAAAATAGTTCTGGCCATTTCCGACCAGATCTGGCCTGATATGGCTGTTTTCAGCCATCAATATGGCCGGAAACGGCCATAACGAAGCCTTCCGGAGCCTCCCACAGAATTTTCTTCTTTTTTAGGGGTTCCGGCGATTTTCCGACGATGGTTCGCAGTGGCGGCAGGCGGTGGCAGGAGGTGGGGGTGATTTCATCATAAATTAAAGTTTTTTATAAGCGGGGGTGTTTTAGCTAAATCTGAAATATTGGGGGTTAACAAATTATTCAAAAATTAATAATAAAAATAATATTATATTAATATTTAAAAGAGGGTCAATTTAGTAATTTAAATAACATACCCACCAATTTATTCCCATAACCAAACATATTAATATAACATACCCACCAACTAACCAAACATATTTTCTTAAAGATTCCCAGTAATCTTCCAAGGTAATCTATCTTTCTAGTAATCCAACATTCCCAGTAATCTAACATTCTTGAACAAAACACCCCCTCAATGCATCCTTTACTGCCTTTCTTATGTCCATTCCTACAATTCAGGAATTTTTTTTTTTTTTTTTTTTTTTTTTTGGTATTTGGGTTAGTTTATACGCACCTCAACTAATTTTTGAAGTTTATTTAACAACCTATAAACCCAAAAGATCAATTTTCATAATTAATAAGTGACCCCAAGGTTGGAAGAATTCAATGAAGTAAAAACCCTCTTGATCGCTAGATCAACTCTTTGGGGTTATTGCAAGTTTTTATTTGTCATTGGATTCATTAGTCAATAATAATGCTCCATTGTGTTCAAAATTATTTATTTGCCTTCATCTGTGTATACTTTTGTTCGTGCGAATTGCACACAGAGTAATATTTCATTGTATCTTTGATCGTATATTTACAAACTGAGTGCATTACTCAATTAGCACGGAGGAATGACATATTAAAAAAAACTGACTCAAGTATTATGCTTTAAAAAAAAATTTAATTATTTTTATACACATTTTTATAAATTAGTTATTAAAGTTTAATTTTTTCTAAAGTGTAAATGTTATTAATAATAAAAATTTTAATCATATAATAAAGAGTGATTCTAAATAGCCCCGACCTATTTTGAGTGAAGCCCCCATTTTCAATTAAAAAAATGTAAATAAAAAATATATAAAAACGAAAGTTGAACTGATGAAGTTTGGTCCGTAAAGAAAATGGCAAAGTTGTAATAAAATATATCAAACATGGTTTAAAAATAAGATGAATACGTGTCATTACATCAAAGGGAAAATGAGAGCGGGAGTGAAAGGCTCAAAACCCACAAAAGACCAAGCCAGTTTGAACCCTAGATGCTCCACAAACGGCGCTACTCAAATGGCCTCCAAAACCTTTCTTCGTCGTTGTTCTTCTTCTTCTGAAACGGTTACGAAAACCAAACTCTCATCTTTATTTACAAATTCATGTAAGGGGACTACAAGTATACCACAAGGTTCAGTACATAATGTGGAAGAGGTAGCGAGGCTTGATAAATTCCTTCAAAAAGATTGTAAAGAAGGTAATATCACTCTTGATGAAGCACGCTATTTCTTTTGTTTAATGATTGATATGCAACGTAAACCACCGATTTCATCATTCAACTGGTTGTTTGGAGCTCTTGCAAAGAAAAAATTTTATGAAGACGTTATTTTGCTGTACAAGCAAGCGCATTCGATGGGTTTGTTGCCAGATTTAATTACTTTGAATGTTTTGATTAATTGTTTTTGTAACGTGGGTCGAGTTTGTGATAGTTTTGTTGTTTTCGGGAGGATTTTGAGGTGCTGTTTTAGCCCAAATGTTGTGACTTTCACTTCTTTGATTAAAGGTTTGTGTTTGGAGAATAGGGGTACGGAGGCTACGAGGTTGTTCAAGAAAATGGTTGTCTTTGGGGTTATGCCTAACGTGATTACGTATGCCACTTTGATTAACGGGTTGTGTCGGACAGGGAACACGAGTGGTGCGCTTAGATTGCATGAAGAAATGGTTGCTGGTAATGGTGAATGGGGTTTTATTTGTAAGCTGGATATTGTTTGTTATAGTAGTATTATTGATGGTCTTTGTAAAGATGGGTTGGTAGATAGGGCAAAAGAATTGTTTATAGAAATGAAGAGTAGAGGAATTAAGCCAGATGTGGTTGTTTGTACCTCTTTAATTTACGGTTGGTGTTTTGTGGGAAATCTGGAGGAGGCTAAAGGCTTGTTTATTGAGATGGCGGATCAAGGTTTGCAGCCTAATTTACTGACTTATAATACAATGATAAGTGGGTTTTGCAAGGAGGGGAAGATGGAGGAAGCTAATTGGTTTTTGGAATTGATGATCCAAAGAGGTTTGCAACCTGACGCGTTTATTTATAACACTTTGATGGATGGTTATTGCTTGCAGCTTAGATTTGATGATGCAAGGGAGCTGCTAATCTCTATGGAGAGTAAGGGTTGTAAGGCTGATGTTGTTAGTTATAATACTTTGATCAACGCCTATGGCAAGAATAGGAAGTTAGAGAATGCTATGAGTCTTTTCAATGAAATGATTTCAAAAGGAATTAGACCAACAGTATATACATACAATGGGTTGTTAACTAGTCTTTTTCTATCAAATAAGGTTGGAACTGCACAGAAACTATTTGATGAGATGAAACTTAATAATGTTGCTCCGGATTCATTTACATATAGTATTTTGATTGATGGGCTATGCAAGAATGGCTGTGTTCTGGAGGCAGCAAAATGGTTTCGTACTTTGGAGTACTATGAGTTTAAAATTGATATTGAAATCTTCAACAGCCTCAATGATGGGTTGTGTAAAAATGGAATGATCGAAATTGCTTTGGAGTTGTTTCACAAGTTGCCACAAAAAGGCCTAATGCCTACTGTTGTGACATATTCCATATTAATCCATGGGTTTTGTAAAGAAAGGAAACTACAAAAGGCATATGATTTGTTATCAGATATGGAAAAGAATGGTTGTGCTCCAAATGTTGTTACATTCAATACTCTTATGCGAGGTTTTTTACAAAATAATGAGGCAGCTAAAGTGGTTGAACTTCTTCACAAAATGAAGGACAGAAATGTAACGCCAGATGAATCCACATTTTCCATAGTTGTAGATCTACTTTTAAAGCATGAAAATTATCGTGAATGTTTGGAGTTGCTTCCTTCATTTCCTCCAGAAGTCAACAAGAGGTTGACATGATAAATGTTGCTGCACTTTACTATAAAAACCATCTTCAATGCTGTGAATGTCTGTAAGTTTATGCTACAATATTTTCGCTTTCTATTTTTCTATGTAGCATCCTTTGATCCTACGTCTTAACGTATTTAATCATTTATATTATTTAAGTTTTTTTTTTTTTTTGCTTATCTCAGTTTGTTGTTGCTCACCTGAATTCTGATTCCTCTAATTATTTTAATACTCTTTGCAATTTTGTACTAGAACTTAATAAGAGTATACATTAATCAGGTTCTGATGTGATGTACTTAAGAAAATAACATTCCTCATGCAGTCATGCTATACATTGTCAATATCGTCACAATCTGTATATCAAATTTCAGGCTGAAGAATTCATTGATGAGACTGGTATAGATGCTTTAGCTCTGTCTGTCGCAAACGTCCATGGAAAATACCCTCCAAGGGCCCCAGTCTGAGACTCAGTTTGCTGAAGGTGAAATATAAATGTCATACATTTTCTATTTCAGCTTTTTGTGTTAAGTTGAGATTACTACACATTGATGTTAATGCCTTAAAGGCGCCAACAGTAATGAGAAAGAAACCTTTTACATTATGCCAATTAAGTTCAAACTCTTCATGCATTAAACATATTTCACCCATCAATCGTGTTTTATATGTTGATTGCGGGCAACAATTTCTTTAAAGGAAGAGTACAACAGTTCTAACTCCATGGTATTTAACATTTTACAACACATATTGACTGGCAAAAAGTGTGCCTGTCCCTCGCTATCAACATGAAACCATAATCTGCAACATCTCATTGTTCGACTAATTTACTTTACTTCGGTTTAGTATCTGGGATTAATATCTTCACCTTCGAACCTAGCTTTATCCTCATTCACTTGTTTGCTCATTCCCCACTTTTCTTCCATGTTTAGGATCTACATGCCTTGAGCTCGAAGAAATGTGTTTATTTGGTGCTTCATGGAGCCTCTGGTTTGTCAGTGGAACTTATCAAGGTAAATCTCTTCATCTCGAGATCCCTCATAATTCAAAAACTGTAAATAAAATATTAATAATAAAAACTAAATATGTATCCATAACATGTATGCTTTTGCTTTGAACAGGGATGTATAGAGAGAGGTGTGACGAAATTCTGCGTGAACACTGAGGTACGCATGGCTTACATGGAGTCACTCAAGAGCCCGAAGAAGGATCTGGTCCATGTCATGGCAGCTGCGAAAGACGCCATGAAAGCCGTTGTTGCTGAGAAGATTTATCTTCCTGGTTCAGCTTGAAAAGCATGATGATATTTTGCGAATGAAGCAATGGTTTGTTCATCGATTACTCAGTCACTCCATGTAGTGGTTTGTAAAGTTTGCAAATGTTTGATCTGAATAATGAGGAGGGTGATTTAGTGAAGAAGCAGCTTTTAAATCAATAAAACTTGTATTAGTTTTGTTATTTTTTCTGTTTTCATTCAATTACTTTATGTTATGAAATGTGTAATATTTGATTACACTATCATTCAATCTGTAATATTCTGTTTAGTTTGTTCATATTTATATTAAATTTAAAAGCACTTCCCCTGACCTTCACGTAGAGCTTATGGTACAAGTGCTTGTCAATCTTTTGGAGCTCCCTGTACAAAACCTTTCCTGGAAGCCTTGCTTCTTTTGTCCCCTTCCTCTTCCCGGTTCCCATTTCCTGAATGCCTCCCTTTTCTTTTGCTTAATGGGCTTTTTCACTATCAATCCATCCTTTACTGGCTTTCCTACGTCCAATATTGCAATTCAGGAAATGTAGATATTTGTAAAATTTCACTCTTCCATTCATTATTAATGAGTTTTGTTTCACTCTTCTTCATTTTTTGTCACATCACTTTGTATATAGATATTTATAAAAAAAAATTTGTAAATATAATATTAATCTTTCTAGTTATAGAGGAGTCCCAGTAAATGTATCATTCACCTCGAATCATGACAATTGACAAATATTCAATTTTTATTTTTTACTTTTTTTTATATATGATCTATTATCCAGACATTGATTCAAGTTTAGCATACCATCCAAGAAGGGTTGGAGAAAAATAGCTTCAACCTATAACACCAAAGACGTAAAAATCTGGGCATCCCTATTAAACATGCTTATATACCAAAACATCAGCCTTTTAAGTCTTGCTATTTAATAAAACTCACACTGTCACCAAGTTCCAAGAGCAGAATTGCTTAACATGTTTGAAGCAAAACATTTTGTATTCCATTTTTATTATTGGTCGAATTTATCCGCTCCCGTTTAAGTTGCAATTCCACCAAAGAAAACAGAAAACTAAAGAGAGCAAAAGGCGCATATATACGAGAGAGAGAGAGAGAAAGAGAGAGAGAGAGAGATTTGGTACTAATTTATTGAAGGGTTCACACAAATTGCAGAATGCCATAGAATTACACTCATTGCAACCATGTTTACTTCTGAGAAGTTGGCATTGCCAGTGAAACTCCACTGCCACCAGGTAAATCCTTCCATTGTTGAGTTATTGTTTTGATTTGGGTGTAGAAGTTAACTCCAGCCTTGCCTGCAGTATAAAAACTCGCGAGTTCATAAGATTCACCCTATTTCGCCATCTTTAAGCAAGTAGTGAAATGGAAGTAGCAAAAAACAAAATAAAAATCTAGTACAGACGGGGAAGACAGGAGCATAAATATTCCTAGGAAAATCTTACCATAAAAATTAAGATCGCCTGCAAAAGATGCCTTGGAGCCCGTAAATGAGAAAAAGGGCAAGGGAACTGGTATTGGCACATTGATGCCAACCTGTATCAGAGCAAACTGGTAGGAATTTCATATAAAACTCCAAGAGAATGAACTCACTTTAGTTGACCTACTATTATGAGAATTTGAATATAACCAATGACGGCCTATTCAACCGAAAATTAATATCTAATTTGGCAGTGAAAAAGTGCTTTCTTTTATCTGCAATCTAGTTTCAATCAAAGAATAAAAGGGGGAGGGGACAATATATGCTGGAAAAGTGATACCTACAACTTGCAGCTTTAACTAATGTCCAATTAAATGTAATTTCCGATAGGGTTGACTTTTACCTGCCCGGCCTCAATCTCAGTATGGAATTTCCTTGCAGCTATGCCAGATGATGTAAAAATAGAAGCTCCATTACCATATCTGTAAGAGAATTACAACTTGAATGCAATTTCAAAGGGATAGTGTATTGTAATTTTTCTTCTAAAAAAGGGTAATAATAAAGGAGTTACTTGTTTTTGTTAACAATGTTTATGGCCTCTTCCAAGCTGTCAGCCTAAATGTTAAGAGGATACAAAAACATAGTCAAGAACTACCTAACAAGTAAAGAGAAGCATAAGGCAGAGAAAGAGAAAGGAGCAATAACAAACCCGCATGCAAAGAAGAACTGGGCCAAGATTTCCTCCTGCAAAGCAGATGTAAAGTATTGTTAAGTTTATGCAATTTGAAACTCGCATCCCTTCATCTACTAGGAATAATAAATTTTCCACATCTTAAGAGTACATGCAAAGTGTCATAGAAAGAAAACAAACATACCTTGTAACACTCCATGTCAGCTGTGACATCAGTTAAGATAGTGGGACCAATAAAATTCCCATGCTCGTATCCTGGAACCTGTTTGTCACCATAAAAAGCAACTGGTTTCATTCTAAAACTTATGGTTGAGTAATGCAAATTACCCAATCAATGACAAAATAGACCACTTGGAGAGAAATTGAAGACAAGTTTGCTATTAGCTTTCAGTTCCAGTGTGTTTGTTTCATTGATCAAAGCAGGCCAGGGAGGTGGTGGCTTATATTATTTTCTTTCATTTCTTTTAATTCAGTTATTCTTCCATATGTCAAAAATGACAAATTTTTGATGAAGACAGAGAGTGATCACAAAAGTTATCACCTTTTGGGGTTGATACGTTCAACTGCAATCCAACATCCACAACCAATCCGCAACAATATATGCAAGGAACCCACACACAACCAATCACAACAATAAGATGCAAGAAACACAATCTGTATAACTCAGCTATATTTTATAATCAGATGGGCAGAAAACAAATGGAATCAGAAGATAAGGAATGGAATGAATCGGTAACCATAAATCCTAGCATTTCAAGGGCCCGAACCTCCACTATTTTACACAAAATTAGGCTATCTGCTACTAAGACTCATCCTGTTTATATACAACCCTTTCACAATTGCCCTTACTCACAATTCTTTATTCTAACAGACTCCTACCCACCCTACACTTGATTTGTGGACCCTACACCGTAACACCTCCTTAATGTCTATTACGCCCCGTTAAGGGGTACACTTATGACCGTAGGTTTATCAATCCCCCCCCCCCCCCCCCTCAGAAGATACCTTGAGGACAAGGTGAAACTGAGGAAAAACTGCGTTTTAATCACTTCATATGTTCCCAAGGGCTTCAAACTCAGGTAAATCTGCCATTGATGAGGACCTCCTTAGAGCCATCTAATAGAGTACGCATAGAGGACTGTGGCTGGCTGACAGGAATTCCAGGTCTTCCGAAAGTGATTCCGGTAGGGGTTGGTGGGCACCGATTTATGTAAGCTCCTCTTGAGCTGAGAAAATATGAAGACAGGTGAATACGGGCCGTGGAGGGGAGCGTCCAGTTTATAAGCCACTGGTCCAATTCGTTCCAAAACAGTCTAAGGACCATAGAAGCGGGGACTGAGTTTTTCATTCATCTTCCGGACAAGATATTTAAAATGTAGGGCTGTAGCTTCAGAAAAAACTGAGTCACCAGTCGGAAGCACTCATCTCGTCGATGAAGGTCAACATTTTCTTCATGTGAGCTTGAGCTAAAGCTAAATTATCCTTAAGCTCCTTTAACATGGAATTCCTCTCTTCATTTGTAATTTACATCTCCACGACTGAGGGGCAGTCTGTAAATTAAAAGGGTGGGGGGATCTCTCCATAGAGGGCTTTAACGGGGGTCATTCGGATGGAGCTGTGATAAGTTGTGTTGTACAGAATTTCTACCCAAGAAACACATAGGCCACTGTCGTGGTGAGAACTGCAGAAACAAGAGATAAGCCTCGAGGCACCTATTGACCACCTCGTTTGTCATCTGTTTGTGGATGGGAAGCCGAACTAAATTCAGGACAGTGCCAGCGCCTTGAACAATTCCTGCAAAATTGACTCATAAAAAGTCTCTGTCAGAAAACAATGGAATTCGGGAAGCCGGGAGCTTGACCACTTCTTAACAAATATGGCAGCCACATCCTTGTCGTGTAGGGGTGGACCAAGGCAAAAAAAATGGCTGTATTTGGTAAGGCGGTCAGCAACCACAAAAATGGTATCCACTCCTTTTGAACGTGGTAGTCCCGATAAAGTCCATAGAGAGATCCTCAAAAACCTGATTGGAATGGGCAGGGGCTGTAGGAGTCCGGCTGGTTTTAACGACGACTGTTTGTTTAGTGACAGGTAGTGCAGACCTGTGAATAGTGTTGTATATCTCCCCGAATACCCTCCCAATAACCACCGAGGAGATCTCTTATATGTTCTGAAGAAACTCGCGTGTCCTCCACTGGGACTTTGGTGGAACTAGCAAGTAATGTTGAAACAAACCTGACCCTTTGGAATTACCAGTCTTCTATAGAATAGGCAACCCCTGCGGAGTTGATAGTTAGGTCGACTAGAAGAAAAGGAGAAGTCTTGTATGATTACCGTAGTTTGGATCTGTTTTGGCCTCCGACGCCATGTCCTCATACTCAGAAAATTGTACCATAGATAAGGCTGTCAGGTTGGCCAATTCAGTCCCGTCTTCTCTTTTGAAGAGCGTCTGCATCTGTTTGAAGCCCCTGGATAGTACTGAATTTCAAAGGTAAAACCTATGAGCTTGGAAATCCACTTGTGTTGTTCCGGGGTTTGATCTCTGGTCGTTAAAAATTGGAGGTACGCTGATCAGTCTTTATTATGAATTTCCTGCCGACCAAATAGGACCCACTTCTGACCGCAAAGACAATGGCCATCAATCTCGCTCGTAAATCGATTAAGCTTGGCTGTAGGGGAAAAGGCCTTGCTGAGGAAGGCTAGGGGGCGACTACTGCAACGAACAGCCCAAGTCCTCTACCGGATGCGTCTGTCTGAATCTCAAACGGAAGTGTGAAATCTGGAGCTGCCAAAACTGGACAGTAGTCATGGCTTCTTGAGTCTATCAAAAGCCAATTGGGCTGAGTCATTCCAAGTGAAGGAGTCTTTTCAGTAGTTGAGTAAGGGGCTGTGCGATGGAACCATACCCTTTTA